TGTGTATTGGTGTTTATATAAGTATGAGTACATTATGTATGTTTGGGGACTGACGTAATAGCACGTATCCTTGATTTTTTTATGTGCGTTATACTGCACGATCTGCTGTAAATACATTCGATACTAACATTCAGTACATACCACTTGGTGTTATTATGAGACAAAATATGTGTTTTCATCCAGATTCTGTCGTCTGTTTACTACCTTCAAATAGGTCCGACCTAAATATCATAAGTTACTTTCGTTTGAATTCTGATTTTATTACTCACCCACAGTGACGTTAGAGAAAACATTCATTTGTCTACTGTCGCGTGTGCATAGTTGAAGTTGTATACACCTAATAATTTAAGCCGCTGAGATAGCAAACTGTATACATCCGGTGTCTTAATGATTCAATGACGTAAGATGTAATAAGTCATGAGCCAGCGAATCACGTGGTTTATTGTTGTTTCTGCTCTAGTTGTTTTTAGCATGTTGTTTTGTTAACATGACACATGATTTTTAAACAGAACAATTTATTTTGCATTTGCTCTGAATGCTCTTCAGTGAGAATAATTAAGTATAATACAAACGTAAAGCAATTTAATCCAAATTGGTTTCTCATTAATTGTTTGATCCTGCAGTATTTATATGCGCACTTGAATTTATGGTTTGTGACCTCCCCATCTGATTTTTTGACATTTGTTTCTTCCTTAGTCACATCCTATTCAGATCCCTAACAGAACTGACGAGTCCCAGAAGGACAAAACTGCTGTGATTCTTTACATGGCTCTACTGTATATAGTTCTAAATTTGTATTGAAAGGTCCCATTCACCTGTGTGTCTTGTCTCCTGGTGTGTTGCTAAGCAATTTTACAGTGATAAAAATCTTAACTTGTTCTCGAAGGTATTATGTACTTAAAACAGTCACACAAAACCATGCCGGCGTGTGTTCTAGTCAACACTATCTACCAAACGAACTAACTGCGAATAAGATATGTAATATATATTGTAATATATATATAAATAATGCTACTTTATATGCTAATACACTGATACGTATGATGATTAAAAACAGTTGTTCAACGCTAATATTATGTTTTCCAGCACTTTCTGGTAACCCCCTTGCTATTTTTAGATCACAGATGTGACAATGACACATATGTTTACGTTCTAAGTAAACGCCGGTGTTTACATTCCACAACGGACAGTTCTGTTGACCGCATTTATAAAAATCGGTTATGTTATTATGACGCGAAGGTAAATGTTTTTTTAAATAGCAGTAACCAGGATTGGTTGTTTATATGTACAGGGTTCTCGGAGTACAGGGTCAATTGGGGTTAAAGAATATTGCTATTTCTTACAGAGCAGGAAAACAGTGAATATTTTTTCAAATAAAGCTAAATCCATGAATCGTTGTTGTATGTTCTTTCTTTCATACTAGAGAATTAGAAAAAAGGGTTAGGCTTACGTTTGTATATACCAAACTATCAATAAGGATGTGTTGGTTAGCCTGTGTATTATACAAACACAAGCTCTGTATCAGCAATGGTGAGACGATCACCATCATCACATTTTATCCGATTAACAAAGTACGTGTTCTGTCCAGTTTACTTTGATAACTGACATGCCACGTTTTAATTTGATCGGATACTGGTGCGGGTAAGATTATAAACTTTTGCTTGAAGTTCTTTCAACATTATCAGCTATGAATTATGAAATTTATCGAATTATTGGGCGATTGAATCTCCCCAATAAATGGCCTTCGTTGTTTCAAAATTTACGCCCATAACATCACTGACAAATCTAGAAGGAATACACACCTGTATGATGCGCTGAAATTCATTCTTAGCCTCAACTGTACCTAATTCTGCATTTTTCAACAGACTATTGGCATACCTTTGGGAACTAACTGACTTATTTTCATACGCGGCTGAATTTATTGAAACTATTAACAGGTCAAAGTTTCACTTTCAGATATATTGATGACGTCTTGTAGAAATTTCATTGACCACATCTATCGTATATACCCATCAGAACTGGACTCTTCTACATCAGCCACTCTCGATCTTTCCTTACAACATGGACAGTCGCATGATAAACGTGACGATTTCAAATTCTTTGTTGTGAATTCTCTATTTCTGGATAGCACACTTCCCTGCAACCTATGTTGTTTACAGCTGATTCGATATTCAAGGGCCTGTCCCAGTTATCATGATTTTTGTGCAAGACGTGTTTGATGCTCTTTAGTTGTTGCTTCTGTTGTTTATCCTGTTGGTTCCGTTGTTGTATACCTTGTTCTTATTTGAGAACGCGACGTTACTCACTTGACTAAGGTTTACATGATTGGTGTCCTCGATGAAACGTAAGACGCTTACTCTTCCGGAACACCTGGTCTTATTCTCCCAGTACTTTTTCAGGATTCTCCGTATAAATGTTTCTATTGTTCATGTTTTGCCCTAGTTTTATTGAATTTGAGTTTGGATTATGTTGACATGTTGGAAACTGCGAAAATTCGAGTCCAGATACTTTGGGAGGTAAAATCTGCATTCATTCATTAATGCAGAATGTTAAGTAATATTTTGAAGTGTCATTGATATCCAAAACTAAAAGCAGAAGTAAAAAGGATTGCATCCGAAAGAACTCCAAAACTGACATAAGAAAGTTTGGGGATAGAATAAAAGTTTTATTAGGAAAATTTTTCTATCTTTTTTCACACGAATCTTAAGAGATATCAACGATCGATATTCTTTGATCATCAAGAATTTCTGAACAATATCTTTTATATTATCCCGAATGGGCACAATACCAAAATCACGTACAAATGTACCTACTGAATTTAACCACCACGTATCAGTTTTATTGTGATAACTTTATCTTGGCTCTCATTTTGAATACTTTGCATCACATGGATAATTTCGTATATGTCCTCAGTGAAATAAAAGCAACTCCGTGCCGGGAAATATGGTTGTTATCATCTTGGAGGGGTGAGGATGGGGGCGGGGGCTTGTGTTGATTTAATCTGTCCTCATTTGACTGACAAAACTTGCTTTCAGTTGGTCCAGGATGGGTTGTTTTCACAGATCTTTCTAAACTCAACTACTGACTGGGTAATATTTAAAGACATTTCTTTCAAACCATTGCCATTTCTTGTCAATAACAATAATGACATCTACAGTAAAAGATTGGCGAAACTTTTCACACATACTTTATGGTAATTCTGCAATATGTCTTCCAGTTTAGGATTAACTTGATCATCAACGTCAACATACCAACAAATGTATTTATAATCTGAGCAATTACATGTATCTGTGTAACCTTTGGCGACATTTTTCCTCTTGTAGAGTCGGATTGAATACGTGGTAAGTTCGATTGTCCCCACAGATGACACGTCAGGTTCAAGGATAAAACTGCCGATATGCTCGTTATCGTTCTAACGCCATAAATGCTTGCTAAGGTAATTGACACTGGTGGCTTGATATGATATGATCTAGATATGCACTAGGCTTGATAAGATTATACGTGAATTACGTTATTAATATAGTAAAAGAACAATACATGCTTCTAATGAAAAAAAATGAAAATACAGTTTTAATCTCTACGAAAGAGATGTCTTTACAGCAAGTTGTATATACTTTTCGCTCTAAAACACTTTTTATACCATCGGCTTATTTTGATCTGAATTACAATTTAATTCCAGCTGTGATACGCATCATCAACATGTCTTCACTATACTGGTAGTTTTTCTGAAAAAAAATCTTTCTCCTTTTGTCCGCCATCCAAGTCATATAGCGACCATTGAATTATAGGGAAAACATATTGTGAATGTATCGTGAGCAAATTAAGTTACAAGCTTCACAAATTACATACATTGTGTCTGGTATTTAGGCTAGAAACGAAGACGGTGACTGTGCATGAACACAGATTGGTTTAGGCTACGTCAGTCAGCGAGATAAAATGGTTTTCGTTCTATCAATTGGACTATAACAACCATGTGGCGTTGGCGTGATTTTTGAGGCCTCGCCTGAAATCACGGTTACTAGGCCGTGTGTTACTCTCACAGCACGTTCTTGAAAACGTGCACTATTTAAATCCACCAGTAAAATGCGAACACATGACATATAAGATAATTAGGAAAAAATATGATAAAATGAAACCAATTGCATGATTTAACTTACTTGATTTTAATGTGTGGGTTCAACTCGTTTCTTCTATATTTTTAGGCTATGACGAAACAGTTGTATGAGGCATAAATTTGTATTGAATGGTGCTAATATTTTGGGCGGTTTTTTAAGAATCCTTTTAGATTGCAGGGAATAAACAGTGTTGGTGGAATTCAGTTCCTCCCGAGAGTGGAGATCTCGGTAGATATATCAGCGATAGAATTAACCTATTGGTACTTGCTACAACATCGATTGACACCATTATAAGTCAGGCAGTCTCTTTAGATTTGTTCCAAACTAATATTGGCTATATATAAGTGAGAAATGTAATACATTACTATATATATATATATTATGTCCTTATTGACCTAGATCTTACTGACACAAAGAATTGGGTTTACAGCCTCGAGGTCAAAGTACAGTTTTCACGTGATGCAAATACTTCAAGAAAATCACGCAAACAAAGCATGCTAGCGATCTTCATCTCTTTGTTTGCAACCGCAATGTTGTAAAAATAGATTTATTTGAGAAATATGCACGTGAAAATAGTTAAAATACGTACCAAGCCTATATGTTTATGATGATTAGATGTGTGCGTATGTATCGTGAATATCATGTGAAAAACACCAAAATAGCCCATGTAATTTATGACGGGAAATTGAGATACACTCAGTTGACCGATATATTGTAAACACGTGGTCGATGTAAACAAACCAGCATGACCTTCGGAAAGCAACACAAACCCAATCCACCAATCAGAGAGCAGGGAATAAAATTGGGTCGAGGTTCAACAGTTGAATCGATTCATGGTATATAAATGCTTGGTACACATGCAGAAAACATAACAGAAGATTTTTTCCTGAATACTATAGTTATACAATACTGATCTTAACTAAACGTGCGACATGAGGGTGCTTTTTAGCAATAACAACGGAGAGGAGGAATATACATCAGGTAAATATACAGTGCGCACAAAATTGTTTCATTGATTTTATTTTAATTTTCTTTTAAGGTTAAGCAAAGAAGATAAAATTGTTTCCAAATAATGCATGTGAATTTTGGGAATTCAAGTTTAATACCCCCTTAAAACATTATTTGTTACAGATTCCGACTCTGCCAGTACAACAAGCAGTGAAACTCCAGAATGGGATCTTTCTATAAGCTATCAGGTAAGGTGTTAATTCTTTTTCTTTAATTTTCAAATTTATTTAATGTTTGCGACAATTTCTAACCACAGTTTTGCTTAAATAAATAATTTATTATCGTGGCCACTTGGGATTTATATCTAAGATTCTTCAGTAACGATATGTTATCAAGTGTGGTCTGTGGTTTTATTTCAGAATGGTTTGTGATCGGATCGATTTTAATAGGAACAATAGGGATATCTGAAAATTCTATTATTCATGCTGTAGAATATACACATGTATGTGAACTGGAGAAAAACGTAAACAAACTTCACGCATGCGTATTAACATGACCTGACCTGCAAACATATGTTAATAGAAAGAATATTCATGACATTGACCTAAATAAACATAGCAGAACTTTCTGACATGTTTTCGAGACTGCGTCCGAGATATGCTTGTCTGTGTTTACAGAGACTGAATAAGCAGCAAGTCAGACGGTTGCCGTCATGTATCGCGGTCAGTCGATTTATGATATTTCATTTGTATACGGTATAAGAGTAATTCGGAACATTTGTCGGTGTTGTTTTGTTGTCAGGAAAACATTTCTTCTGTGTATTTTGTTGTACGTTCGTCAACATTACTGTCATGTTGCACATGCAGAGAGTGATTTTATTGTCCTTCAACCGTGACCATTTGTCTTGCACAGCCGGAATTTGGTATCCTGTTTGACGTAGACGGGGTATTGGCAAGGGGAAGTAACCCATTGGATCCAGCTATACAGGCTGTGAAATTACTAACAGACACAGAGGGAAACTTGCGGGTACCAGTTGCTTACGTCACGAACGCCTGCAACAGGAGTCATGACAAAGCTGCCCAGATACAAAAATGGTTCAACATACCGGTATGTCACACATTGGAAGTTTGCAAAGACTTTTGTGATATGCATTTAAATGCAAGTATATATAGGAACAATTTCTAAGAATGAAATCTTATTACTTAAAATTGTCAGATTTAAATATTGATATATTTTAATCATTGTGATTTTCCCATCTCGATACATAATCCCGAAAATATCATTGTTTATAAATGCTAATTAAAACTGTAACTTGACTCTGTGATTGTTTATCATTATCAACTTTCCTACTCACAGGTAAGTCCAAGTCAGGTGATACACGCCCCTACTCCAGCTCGCCTCCTTACGGAATACCACAACAAGCACGTTCTTGTAGTTGGACAAGAGTTCAGACAGGAGATAGCCGAAGAGTATCCTTTTCTGTCGTTCAGTCAATGGAGCATATTTTTACCAAACTACAAAGTAGTTTTGTTATAAAAAATATCATTCTATGGTTTATCCTGAAGGACAAATTATGATGCATTGCAAATTATAGTGAGATGAAACAGCAACGCTAATAATGACGCCTTTGTCCCTAACGTTGTAACCTTGACCTTGGTCAGTATTGGATTCACCAACACATGTACGATAGAGAATATCCGAGATGCATACCCGTACTTGGATATGGTGGATCACGACAATCGGCGACGTGTGGTAAGTGTTTGCTCTCTAAGTACATTTATAGTTCTTGTAAAACTTAATCGTTCTTCGTGTAAAACCAAATGAATACCTAAGCATTTCATCATTTTATTAAGAAAGTTAAATTACAAAGACCCGCAGTAAATATTATCTATTCGCTTACAGGCTGCCGGTAACTTCAGTGACAATCTGAGTTTTCCACGAGTTGAAGGTACGTTCAGAGCAATTACACTTTCTGTCAATCTTGAAATCTAAATATCATCGCATAATAAGACATTTGAAATATGAAATAATATATGTGCAAAAGGCATTAAGTATACATTATATATTACTAATTATACATATGTCAGAAGCATTAAGAAACGGAGCAAATTTAGGCACTAGTGCCTTTAATGTGCATACTTACAATTCAATTTGGCAGCAATCCTGATGATTGGAGAACCACAGCGATGGGAATCCTCCCTTCAGCTTCTTGTTGATCTACTCCTGACAGAGGGCAAACCCACATCCGCGCCATCTTCTATCAAAGATGTCCGCCAGTTGCCCGTCATCGCTTGCAATATGGATCTTGTCTTTATGGCCGAAGCATGCATGCCTAGATTTGGACACGGAGCCTTCCTTGTTTGTCTGGAGGCTCTTTACAAGGTGAAAATCCAAGCACAGAGCTATAGTGAAATAGGAGAATTGTCTTTTAAAAAAAAAAAAAAAAAAAATCATCCTATTTCGAAAATCATATTCATGTTAAATGATTTGATAGAGTTTCATTCAAAATATTATTGCTTTCTAGTGATTTACAAAGATGTGGTATTATCACATAATGCATAATTTTTCTGTAAATTATATTTTTTGACGAAATACCTAACATTGATATTAAAATTTAATATGTCTACAGAAAATCACTGGACAGGATCTTGAGTACACCGCACTGATTGGCAAGCCTTGTGAGATCACCTACAGATATGCAGAGCATACCATAGCTGCTGAAGCAAAGAAGATTGGAATCACGCGACCAATAAAAAAGCTTTATTTCATTGGGTAAGTGTATTAAGTACTCGATCAAGTATTAGAAACTATTAAAAAACTACAATTAGATGAATAAAAACCATGAGATGTTTTAATCTATATTAATTGATAGCTAAATGAATCATTAAGTGAACACACTTTTTAATGATATCATATTACCGTTTATATAAGCATTATTCAACATTTCTTTGATGACATATAGTGAAAAACCTCTTCAGCTGAATGTTTACTTTTCTAAGTAATTCATCACGTCACAGATGTAAGACAAGACAGATTTCGGGTCACAATGCCAGTATTTTCAAGAATTCAAGTCTCTTTCCCGATTAATCTCGCATGCATGAAAACTTGCCTTTATAAAATCGAAGTTGCGATGCCTTGAAGATGTAGCCAATACATTTGTTTCATCCACAGAGATAATCCGCACGTGGACATTGTCGGTGCTAACCTTTATGATCGGTTTCTGAAGCAGAGCAAAAATGGAAATGAACCTATTCACAAACCTCTCCCAAGATCTAGGTCCATTCCCAGTAGCGATGCTCTATTGGAGCAAACTGTACAAAGAATGGACAGTCTATTGGTTGGAACTGGAGTCTACAACGCCGAGAAGGAGTCCGAGAAGACAGATAATGCTGACGTTTACCACGGACATCGTGACATCATGCACGAACCAGAGCTTGCACAACCCACACGTTATGTGAAAGACGTTTACCATGGACTTCAGCATATACTGGAACAGGAAAACTTTCGGGTAGCGACGTGATCAGTTCACAGCAAAACCTGAGTTTGGTTGTGATGAATCGGACCGCGGACCACGACAATTCAATTCTCAGCGAGTGAACCAAAGACCTGCAATCTGTGATACCGCCATTTCACTGTGTTATGTAGATCTCTGTGAGGTGAGACCAGTTCGCTAGTCGGTCACGTTCCTCCCAATGTCATGGTCACCCATCCTTTACAAGTCAATGACTTCTCAGGAATTTCATGATGACAGTTTAAAATTGATTTTATCTTGTAATCACTTGCCAGCTTCACGGAAGACAGTATTATATACTGAAATTAAAAGAAATTACCATTGACGGAGTTTTTGATATAGACAAAGAAAAATGTCCATTGTTTGGAGCCTGTACTACACTTAGAATAGGTTCATATAGTCTACATCTTAGATCAAAGGAAACCGAAAATGTTATTCATTGACTGGATTGAAACAAATGCATACTTCATGTTTATGTATATATATGTTGTCATGGCGACGACCTCTGCCAATAATGAGGTCAGGACAGTGCCGGTTACTTGTTTTGTCTGTCGCGTTGTAGTAACGTCACCACGACGAAACCAAGACAGAACATTCACAAACGTCTGACGTATCTCCACTGTGTTCATCATTTAATGTTTATTTATTAGACAATGGAATCGTGCTGCCTCAATATATATTTATAAATTTGTTCTATTTTTGACACAAAGCTTGATTAAAGAATAAATAAATTTATTTGTATATTTTGAGTTATTTTTTTCCCGTTTGAATTGAGGAAACAACGACCGATATAACATCAACAGCTGCAGGTTGTCTGTCATTATCAAAGGACACCGTGGCAGTTATCTAAGGGGGAAAACTCTTATTGAAGAAAAAACTGATATCTTTTATTTGAAAGATGTGCTTGGAAATAATTGTTACATAACTATTATAATTGTTTATTGAAAATACGTGTAGTTAACGTAGCAAATTAAACCGGAGGACATTTATCATGACCCAAGAGGATGAATTTGAACCAAACCCTAGTGGTCAAGGGACGAAGCCCTAAAGGGGAAGGTGCTGATATTAGATTAAACCCCACTACTCCTTTCTGTCTGAGTAGATTTCAACAAACTTTGGCCTGATTCATCAGTATGAGTAAGCAATTATTTCTTCAATTCAGAAATTTGATTCGAGGAGGCCCGAAATGGAAGAAAAGACAATATTTGCTTCAAAACGTTACTCCTCTGTAATGCTTCAATGGATTTCAATCTAATTTAGCCTGAAACTTCACTGAGAATGGGGAATCATTTCTTGAATTCAGAAAGTTGATTCAACCACTAGGGACTTTGGGGCGGGACCCTAATGGAGAAGTTAGACAGGATTTTGCTTCAAAATGCTTCTCTTTCTGAATACTTGGATAAATTTCTACCAAATTTGATCTGAAACATCACACTGAGAGTGGAAAGCATTTCTTAAATTCATAAAGTTGATTCGACCCCTAGAGACTTTAGGGCGGGGCCAAAAAAGGGGAAATAAGTCAATATTTTGCTTCAAAACACTACTCCGTTTTAATGCTAGAATGGATTTCAAACTAATTTGGTGTGAAACATCACTGACTATGGGGAAATTATTCCTTAAATTCAGAAAGTTGATTAAAGCCCTAGGGACTTTTGGCGGGACCCAAAAGGGGAAATTATACAGGATTTTGCTTCAAAATGCCGTGGAAAATCTTTTCTTAAATTCAGAAAGTCGATTTGAACCCTAGAAACCTGAGCATGGGCGGGGCAATTATTGGGATTTTTTTTGCTTCAAATTGCTACTCTTTTTAAATGCCTTAATGGATTTCCGCCAAATTTCTTCTCAAACATCATTGGGAGTGAAGCGTCATTTCTAAACTTCAAAAAGAAAATGCTACTCCTAGGGATTTTGGAAGCGTGGCCCCAAATCTGGAAATTAGGCAAGAGTTAGCTTCAAAACCATACTCCTATTTAATGCTTGAATAGATTTCAACCAAATTTGGTCGGAAACATCATTAAGAGTTGAGAATTGTATCTCAATACAGAAGGTTGATTTGACCCCTAGGGACCTGGGGATGGACCGGGCCCCAAATGAGAAAGTTAGTCTCAGTCTCTGAGTTAATTTCAACCAAATTTAATCTTAAACATCATGGAGAATGGGGAATCATTTCAGATTCGGCCCCTTGTTAGTAGGAATGGCTATGATCTGCTTGAAAGGTTACACGGAATAACTACATTGTATGTCATAATGTTTAAATGACTTTTTCTCAATAACCAAGAGGACCAGGGTGCTGATATTGGACCAAGTTCATAGGTGTCAAATGTGTTGAAATGCTTAAGCAACTTCTTCTCAATAATCGAAGGGCCCAGGATAATGGTATCAGGCCTGTAGCAGCCTAATCATGATCAAAATAAGCAGTCCTCTACACTTTTTAACGGGCAATTTCTGTTTACTTAGGCTATGGTATAAAAATCACCACTGTGTGGATAAAGTCGGGCACGGATGTCTATATACTAGTAAATATAGAACAATAAATCGGCTGTAGGCTTAATTGTCAAAGCAAATGCTCATTGTGCAAAAACAATAGTAAAATCGCGGATAGATTGTCAGAGTAAACATCACCCTGCTAGATAAACACCACGAAATCTAAATTAAATTAAATTAGCAAAAATGGAATTGAAATTACTAAACAATAAATGAATAGCTATAACTGAATAATGATAATAAACTTACAGACAAAACAAATGATCTTTAAAAAGAGGAGTATTATGAGTAATGTAATACTTACATTCTATAGAATCGAAGCTCATGTGAAGATATTACAAATAGCTGTTGGTTCCGTTGTTTACCTTGTTCTCATTTGAGAACGTGACATTACCGAAATGGGTTGACCAAGACTTATATGATCGTAGTGGTAGATGAAGCAGAAGACGCTTACTCTTCAAGAACACTATTTCAGGATTCTCCGCGTAAATATTTCTTTTGTTCCAATTTTGTCATAGTTTTATTGAATTTGAGCTTGAATTATGATTATGTGACATGTTGGTATTTTTTTTATTACGATTTTGTTAGCATGTCGGTATCTTTGTTGTTATTTTAACATACAAAATGTATACGTATATACGTATACGTATACTGACTTGTTCTTGTTTTCATACGAGATTTAATTCATTGAAGAGCCTATCAAAACAGGTCACAAAGACCTTGCAAAGTCGTTTAATTTCACCGTCAGAAATATTGTTGACGTCTTGTCTTTAAATAACAAGAAAATTATTGACTACTTCTGTCGTACACATCCACCAGAACTGGAAATCAAAGATACGACAGACTCTTCTACATCAGCTGCTTATCTCGATCTTTCCCTACAACGAAACCTTCCCATCAAGTTGTATGATAAATGTGATGATTTCAATTTCCCTATTTTTTTTCATTTCTGGATAGCAGTATCCGTACGTCTTCAACCCATGGTAATTTCATGTCACAGTTCATTCGATGTTCAAGGACCTGTTTCTATTATCACGATTTTCGTGCAAAAAGTTGTCAACTGAATGACTCGTAACATAAGGGCTCAAAAATGCAGGTTGATGAAACTAATGTGGACGTTTTATGGTCGTCTTAGTTATCTCATTAAAAAATATTCTATTTCTTTGCGCGACATGAAGCTGGACGTATTTGATGCTTGTTAGTTTACCTGTAGATTCAGTTGTTGTATACGTTGTACTCATTTGAGAACGCGACATTACTTACTTGGATTGATCAAGGTTTACATGGCTGGTGTCGTCTTATTCTCCTTGTACCTTTCAGGATTCTCCGTGTAAATCTTACTTTTGCTTATATTTTGCCCTAGTTTTATGGAATTTGAGTTTGAATTGTGATTATATTGCCATGTTGGTATTTTATTTTATTTTTGAACTTCACTGTAGTTGGTCCATCCTGTATGATGCAGTTTAATTATCACTCTAAATTATGAAAAGGTGCTATGCACTTGTGTGTCTTTTGTACAACCCTTAAGACAGCAGGTGGTAGGTTTCAGTCCCCGAGGTTGCCGTAACCTGCATGCCACGTTTTAATTCATTCGATTACTGACAAGGTTCATAATATAAACAGGTTATTACGTGGCTGCTTCATCTCCCCGTCCACAGTCGATTCCTAGGCTTCAACATTCAGGCCCTTGGCTTCACTGACGAGTCCTAGAAGGACGAAACAGCGGTAAGATGCAGTTTAATTAATTGTTTGGTTCTACTGTATCTAATTCTAGATTGTTAAAAGGTGTTATTCACTCGTGTGTCTTTCTTTTTACAATATTATATCGTCTTCATGCTATCATCTACATCTGTATAGATTTATTTATCAGATCCATTGGGTGAGACACAGTATACATATATAACTAGAGCATTGGCAAGTGTTCAAAATGTAACAAGTTCGTCATAGCCCTCCCAAACTTGACCAACTACAAAAATATCTGCAATATCTACACGAGCACCTGCCAGATAACAAAACCTTATGTTTGTCTACCTGGGCCTGGTCACAGGTAAGCTACACACCAGTAGATCCTTACGTCTGCAGGGCAACAAGTCAAAGACCCAGACATAATAACAACGATGTTCTAACCAGGTCACAGGTTGTACAGCATACTTTTGACTTACGGGTGCACTGACCACTATGTAAGGTAAGCAGAACAACGTTATTTTTTAAAAAACAATTTCTTCAATACATTTAAAGAAGTGACAACATATATCCCCATACTGATTCGAAAGGCAACAACACTTGTTTTAGAAAGTAAGAAATAATTTGTAGACCCTATAAATGATTGTGATGAAATCTGCTTACGCGAGCAGAACTGATGAATACGGATGAATGAAATGCTGTAGTTTTGTTCTAAAAGAATATATTTGTGTTGACATGTCGATCGAACCAGAGGTTATTTCTTTGTAAACAACTGACATTTCTTGTCCAGTTAACCCAAACGATTTTGTTGGAGATTTTGTCACTCCATGAATCCCTAATCACCCCCTTCCTCCGCTCACCCCTACAAATACTAACACACTAACAGATAGTATTATACAACAGTCGCCTGTTCGAACACGATCGCGTGATATAGCGTGACGTGATCGGAGTCCAGTTGCCGGCGATAACAGTTAAAATCACCCCATCATTTACGTTAATATTGGACTGAATCTCACCATTTTGGCCACATTCAAAAATGCCGAGAACGTTCGACATTTGGATACCATAGGACCTGTTTCACGGCTTATTTGTCCTGGATAATTAGTATATTTTGTATTTGTAGGATGGATTATCGGTGAGTTGTAACTCTGTTCTCATTCATATAAACAAACACAATATTACGAGTGAGCATCATATGATCCATGTAAAAACTATATAATTAGGTACATTGTCGACAAATGATGAATTCAACTGCATCATACAAGTGTGTTATCCTCCTTAATTGGTGGGGGAACTCCACTGGGAACATGAAGATATAATCATGGTATCCTGTCAAAGTGGTTGAATTATATTCGGAAGGGTAATATCTCGTTATCTATCCTGATCAAAATATTGTATTAAATTGCTGATAACAGAGTGTTTAGTTTGATTTGAGAAGCAAACCTCACTCTCATTAAGGTCGGCCTCGATATTTGTGTTTGATTTTATTTGTTTTTGTTTACTTTTTAGATCCATTTTCTATCTTAGTCTTCTGACAGTGCTATCTTGACGCTAGGGTAAACTTGACGTATGGTTCGGAACTCATATCTATTGTGTGTTTCCACTTTAGTTGTCAATATTTGCTTGTCAGTACACTTATTCGTCTTGACGTAATGTTTCTTTCAATCTTCTATTTCATCCTCCAGGTTATTCTAGCCATCACCAGCACCGGTAAAAGAATACCATCAACATGGACACCGCAACTGATGTTCCTATCTGGACGCATGGCGTCACAAACTCTTCTTCAAATGAAACCATATCATCTACAGTCTCTCCGCTTCCTCAAGTACATCAGGATCTCATGTGGCTCGTCCCGACATTGTTTGGCATGTTCTTTTTCCTAATAGGCATGGCATGGTTTCTGTTCTATTGTATCAAAAAATTTGAACTTGCCGCCCTGGCATTTTGTTACAGAAAATTTGGACTGTGTCCACCTGACGAACGAAGTAAAATGTTGTACAATTCCCTGGGAGAGGACAATGAAACAGACTCTGACACTCTATATATGAGGGGTACGTCACTTATACCTAATGTCATTCGTTTACTCATGCATCTATAAATATATATATATACAGTATAATTTTGGCTCGTTATCGTAACTGATGGTCTTTGCCCGAACTCACGATCACCAATCGCGAAGCCAAGTTTCAAAAAATTTCTTTATCTCTGACAACACGGCTAAATATCCATACACACTAATATGTAAGCTAATAGCATCCGTTCTTCCAGCAGTCAACCCTCACTTGTCCTGGCACCATATATCTCTAAACGCAACTGCTTTGCGGGACATCACTTGTTTCGTTCAAACCTTTAAACTGAAAGAAAATATGCGTCTGAAGAGTCCCTGCTTTATCAAAGGATTGCGTTGGACTTACCATATTTCGTGTGTGCAATTATTTTAAAATAACAAAACACGACGAGATAGCTAAAAATGATATTATGTGTCAATTAATTTGATTGAAAGAATGGTTTGCAAACAAAGCTATTTTTGAAATTCATGTAGAGTCTGGGAACAATGGTGTAACCCTATCTTGATAGCACAATATCCAACCCCATTGCTTTTTCACACGACACGTTGTAACTCTAAGCTTTGTTATTGCACAGCATCAAATTAAGATCACAGAAACCGCACTCCTTATTGACGGCATACATTTTTCAGTTATTCATAAGCTTGTCAAATACCCTGAACATCCACCACAAAATAATATTTATCGTGTTGATATCGACATATGTTGAATTTGCAAAACTTATGACACGCGTGTATTGAGTCAGTGTACCTTCCTATGATCGGATGTGTGACCTACATTGTTATTGTTTTCATTGGCTTTCCAGATAAGTTGTTCACCGTCACCTCGAAGGATGGAAACATGTATCCGGGGGTCCGGATCTCCATGCCAAACTATTCTACAATGTCCCCTGTTCCCGACCTTATCTTGGACAGTCGAGTACTCAAACCTCCGCCATCTAAGACGGTTCAGTAAATAGGTCCGCCAGAACAAGGACAATTACCATTGTGTTTCTTTATTTGGTCGGGAATTTCTGCAACGCCGGCTTCTTCTTGTGGTTGCGTTATGACCGGGATTATTATACATTCTAGGATTAGGTCCACTTGAAACTATGCACATGTGGTCATGTGGTCAGCAAAATCTCTACATATAACCGATTTTCTGTGCTTTAGCTAACATTTGCCTAGGCTAGCTATCACTCACCTTTGCTGGCAAATCCTCCAAACTCCACATTTTCTGCACAACGCTTGAAACGTGCTACAGGACACTTTGTGTGCGCGGCATGTACCTTTATTGTTGCTAATACCTTGTGTAACTGGAATTATTCTTGCAGAAGTGACGCCAAAGTCAAGGCAGCATACTCCTCGATCAGATGACGATCCTGATACAAACGTGTGATAACCGTTAAAATCAAACTTATAAGTGAGTTCGAATGAATTGATGTGATGTGCCTTCAGATTAATTTAAAGACGGTGCTGATTCCGGAACGGATATATGTCCTTTCTCTGGACTACGTCAGTAGAAGGTATACATTTAAGATGAAATAATGATAGTGACTATCTTTCATCATGGTGCTTTATTTTGTATATCAAAGCCACTGGTCTGGTTTGTGATCTGAACACAAGTGTCCCAGTTTAAGTCCAGATTTTCCTCTTCGTCACTTCCATGACTTCTTAAGATGTTTTCGCCATTTTCATCAGTCGTCTACTTTAATGAAGAACGGTTTGTGACGTGGCTTCAGACAGACAAATACATACACGTTAAAGTCGTGTCGGTGTTGAGTGGTTAACATCATATATCATTTTAATGTTTATAGTTCAATGGAAATATTCTTATGCTGATGATAAAGATTGTTCATTGATTTGTTCATAAGAAGAAAATCAAAGACATCAATTTGTGATGGGTTAAGGAATTTTGAATGGGCCAAATATACTTTATCGACAACTTGTTATTGTATATAAACACGCTATTTCTAAAAACTTATTCCACTTATTCAATTCAACTGTAATACCACATACAAATGTATATATATATTCATATCATTAAATCATTCCATAATTTATAAAACGATTAACGAATCTTTGTCAACACATTATAGATCTTAGATATGGACGTGTAATTACTTAACGCGTATTGTGGACCAGTTTTTACTGAAACATGTCGTTGATTGTTTTGTACAAGTCATGCCATTGGTATGCCTTTATAACAATATCTATACCTAAATATAAACTTTTCTAGAACAGTCGATATTTTAATGTATGAAACATGCAGGAGTTTGTTACTTGGGTTACGCTTGTTAAAACGCTATATTGCTTAGAACTGATTCTTCTACACAAACATACCACCTGAATATCTTGAAACATTTACTTCGAGTAAATAGAGGGTGGGGGAGATTTGCAGACAATGGCTAAGAAGAACTAACACTTGCCGAATCTTACTAAAGATTATTTTAATGAGAATGTATGTCAGAATAAGCTGAATATGTCTCAGTTTGGACACGACAGTAGAAACAAAAAGACGGAGTTTACAGTGAAGAATAACAGATTAATGATATATTTTATTACTAATGACGTGAAAGGTCGTGTTCATTCACGGCAGCGAATGATAAATGAATATACCGATGACAGCACTTCTGTGGAGTTAAAAGTATGATTGTGCGAGTCCGAGACCTGAAATTCTAATATGGATCTCCAAAATCTGATCTATTGAAGCAGGAGTGGATGAGGCTAGACCGCCAGTGGATTCAAGATATGGCAATGTATAAGAAAAATGCCTATAAATTAACTATCGTGCTGTTTTACTAACACAGCTACATCTAACTCCGTGATCAAATTTAATTGAGTAAATAATTCAGATGAAAAATAAAAATAAAAATAAAGTTACATATTCCATGTGTATATTGCCTTTTTGATATTGTTTCGTAGTATGAAGATACGATATGACTTGAACTTGATGTTCTAGGTGTTATCATAGTACAATGTACAGGGACTATAACCAGCCAGTACAAAGTACAGGACAATTAATACATTATCAAAGGTCATCCTTAGTACAGCACAAATTAAGTATCATATGAAATTAAAATTTTCCTAAACAGGATGATGAATAATTTGATCATTAACCCTACACCAGACAGAAACAACCGACAATGCCCCACGAGCGCACGTGAAATCCGACGCCGGATTGGATATTATATACTATAATCTTTCCCCCCGGACAACTGTTTTTTATCTCCGTGCATAACGAGGCATAATGACTTACTAATTAAGAAAAATAACGATTATGAAGTTATTTTTCTTATGTAACTATAAACGTACAGTCAGTTTGACGTCACTCATCAAAGGGGTAACTGTATATCCTGTTTATATAAATATACCGCTTTTAATTATGTTAGAACTCCGTTACTACACTATTCTCTCCTGTCCAAATCTCTTACTTGATATCGTGTCTATATTACGTATTCCGCTTTTAAATATTTTGATAGAACTCCGTTATCGCACAAAAAAAATCTCCTGCCAAAATATCGGGGAATCTATATCCTATAGGGTTTCTCTAGTCTTTGTTAAGAAGATATATAAATTCAATATGGGTTATTTTACCTCCAGAATAAAAGGCTTGATATATATAGAGAGAAATTTATCCTGCAACATTGATGGGAAATCACACTATCTGAACTTCAACATTTTGTTGTTCAATCGATATCTTTGTTTATCGGTCGTTGACTTTACGCTGAATTTTGCCTGATGACGTACGCCAAAATATTTGTTCCGCGCAGAAATGTAGTTCCAAACTTCAACGGATACGACAGCGATTTTTATTAATTTTTGTAAATAAACTTGTACAGAAAAAACATGTAAAATCACTTATTTAAGCAATTATCTATATTAGTAAACGTAATTTTTAGGTAAATTCATAAGTGATTCCGTTGAATTTACGCACTTGCTAAAATTACAGCGGTTTTCCGCCAATACCGAATACAGCGAAAATCTATGCGACAGGTGTAGTCCGACAATGGCGGTGCCAGTTGCATTGTAAATACTTATCGACATTCCAATCAGGATTCGGCTGACCACATTTTATAGTAATTATTACCGTTTCAGTCACCAACACTATTTGCTAATGGGGTTGGATGGATTTATGTAGTAAGCCCTCGCCCACCGCTAACGTCATCTCATGTTCTAAAACGCTTTATCCCTGCAATCAACCATTCAAATATCATGATTTAACTTCAATTCCATTAGTGAAATGGGAGATCAGAATTACATTCATACAAATGGGTACATTTAAGGAGCTACAAATAAAATTTGGATGAGATACAACTATTCCTATAGAAGAAAGATTTTTTTTTAAATGCTTAAATCTATAAGGTCCCACACACAGGGACCAGAACCACTATTTATCAAAAATTAGTTAATCTTTCCATAGAGATGCTTCTGACCAAATTTGGTCAAAATGGATTGGGTCGTTAATGACAAGTAGCCAATTATAAGATAGAGTTGATGGATGACAAGTGGACGGCGTGCCATAAAATAAGCTCACCTGTCCTTTTGGACCAGGTAAACCAAAAACTGAACAACAAAAACCAAAAATACCATCAGTTTCTTTATTATGCCAAAGTTTTAAACTTATCTCTAATTTCAATTAACAGATTATCAAACTATTAATTTCAATATTAACAGGCATCTTTTTTTTTCTTTTATTACAAAGTTGACATATTATTAATAATTTGCTTGTTTTTTTCTTTGATCAGATGTATTCCTCCTCCCCACCCAGTTTAACTATTGCCATCACCTCCTCTTCCAAAAAAGATGTCACTGATCAAACTCCGACACTAATGTTCTCCCCTCAATCCCTTTTATCATATTCATTACATTCTAAACAAAATGCCATTCACTGGCATTAACTTTTGTCTAAATTATTTTCTTATATCACCTCCTACCTGCCTCCAGAACAAATTCCATTGTTCCTTAGACACATTCTTCATCTCCACTATGCACAACTCACTCTTCTCCACACATATATATATATATACATGTAGATACTTTAACCCTGGATGTATCATCTCTGCCCTATACACACTTCCTTTCCTCTCTCGGGGTTATCCCCTGGTCCAGAGTATGTACTCTCAATGATCTTCCCAGAAAATGTGTCCTCACCCCTCTCCCAGAAAATCAGATCTCGCCACTACCCACAGAACAATATGTATCCTAATCACTTTCCCTAGAATATATTTGTTCCCCTTGTCCATCTCCCCTGAATGTTTAACCTCACCCTCTCCCCTGAATATGTACTCTCATTCTTGTCCAAAGAATATGTACCCTCCCCCTATCCCTGAAATATGTATCCTCACCTCCATCATTACAATATACATGTTCCCTTGTCAATCTCCACTGAATGCTTTACCTCATCTCTCTCCCCTGAAATATGTACCCTCACTCCAGAATATGTATCATCATCTTTTTCTGTATAGCATATACTCTCTTCCCTCTCCCTCAAATATGTCCCTTTATACCTCTGCCCTAAATATGTACCTTCCTTCCTCCTCAGCTCTATTACCTCTCTCCCCCTAAAATATAACCTCATCCATCTCCTCTGAATATGTTTCCTCCCTCCCTCCCTACATAGTAAGTCCACCCTTCCCAAACATATAGTCTCCCTCCCCCCCCCCACCACATAAAAAGTCTACCCTCCCATCTCTATATAACAAGTCCCCACTCCACACAAAATAATTCCTCCTACCAATGTAATAAGTCCCTCCCAACATAATAGTTCCCCATCCCCACATAATAAGCCTTCCCTCCCCACATAATAACCCCCCACACATAATAAGCCTTTCCTCCCCACATAATAACCCCACACACATAATAAGCCTTCCCTCCCCACATAATAACCCCCCACACATAATAAGCCTTTCCTCCCCACATAATAACCCCACACACATAATAAGCCTTCCCTCCCCACATAATAACCCCCCACAC